TCATATATTAATTGACCATATATGTTTGGGTTAATATCTGACCCCTCTATTCTGTTCCACTGGTCTATGGCTCTGTTCTTGTGCCAGTACCAAATTGTCTTGATTACTGTGGCTTTGTAGTAGAGCTTGAAGTTGGGAAGCAAGATCCCCCCTGCTTTATTCTTCCTTCTCAGGATTGCTTTGGCTATTTTGGGATCTTTTGCGGTTCCATATGAATTTCAGAACTATTTGTTCCAGTTTTTAAGAATGCTGTCGGTATTTTGATAGGAATTGCATTGAATCTGTAGATTGTTTTAGGTAGGATGGCCATTTTGACAATATTAATTCTTCCTAGCCAAGAGTATGGGATGAGTTTCCATTTGCTAGTGTCCTCTTTAATTTCTCTTAAGAGTGTCTTGTAGTTTTCAGGGTATAAGTCTTTCACTTCCTTGGTTAGGTTTATTCCTAGGTATTTTATTCTTTTTGATGCAATTGTGAATGGAACTGTTTTCCTGATTTCTCTTTCTGCTAGTTCATTGTTAGTGTATAGGAAAGCAAAAGATTTCTGTGTATTAATTTTGTATCCTGCAACTTTGCTGAATTCTGATATGAGTTCTAGTAGTTTTGGAGTAGAGTCTTTAGGGTTTTTTATGTACAATATCCTGTCATCTGCAAACAGGGACAGTTTGACTTCTTCCTTACCAATCTGGATGCCTTGTATTTCTTTGTTTTCTCTGATTGTCATGACTAGGACCTCCAGTACACCTTGAATAACAGTGGGGAGAGTGGGCATCCCTGTCTTCTTCCCAATCTTAGATGAAAAGCTTTCAGTTTCTTGCTGTTCAGTATGATGTTGGTTGTGGGTTAGTCACATATGGCCTTTATTACGCTGAGGTACTTGCCCTCTATACCTGCTGTTACCTCTTCATGTCCTGTTTCACCAATCACAGGCCCAGAGTTGGGAGAAAAGGAGAGTGAAGAAAAGGGCAGAAGATGAGAGACAAGGCTCTCACCTTATGAATGGCCTCCAGCTGCAGCCTGTCCAGGCAGAGCTGCGAGTGGCCCTCCCCCTCCTGCATGCGCAGCATGGGCTCTCTCTGGAGCAGGTCGTGGAATGAGCCCTGGGGAGAGGAGTGTAATAGGAGAGAGAAAGCAAGCAGCTTCTTAATCTTGCATCTCTGTGCTGGAACTCCCTAGGATTCACTACTATACAAAGACTAAAGTTTTCTACTTTTTAAAATGCCACACCCATTCTCCTGGTCTCATTTACCAAATCCGTATCTTGAAAGAGCAAGTAGTGATGGCTGACAGTTTCAGCATAAGTTCGAGCCTTGGGAGGGTTGGGGGCCCCAGAAGAAGCAGAAGAGTGGTCTTGACCTTCGGGACTGTCCTGATATGGCATCAGATCTGCTTTATATATAGGCTAGAAAGGAGACCATGAGGTTGGGTTCAATATTCAATATTATAGATACTGAAGAAAAAAGTTAAAGAAAAGTAGTTTTGGAGAGGAGAAACTTAAAGATGGAAGAAAGTAGTATGCTTACACACAGGCTAAGATGAAGTAGGGCAGGCAAGATTATGTACAACTCTGTGCTAAGACTTTCAGAGCTGGAAGACCTCGTACAAATTTATACTTTAATACTAATTTGTAGTTCTAATTTGGGAGGTCATGTGGATTAGGACCCAACAGATGGTGCTGCCATTAAATGTTCATATACGTACGAATCTTCGCTCTACAGGTCGCTTGACATTTATTGGGTTCAGTGCCATATCAGGCAGTATAGCTGCAATGAGCTCCCCGGATATATCTCCTGCAGCTATTGTTCCAAGCCAGTCAGATCCTGAAAGACTCTAATAGGAAGAGACAGATTTCTTTTATCCATTCATCCATTCACTCAGTTCTGTGAACTGGTAACAACTGTACAGTCTGAGGTGGGAGAGACACACACAGACACAAACAAAAATGAGATTATCATAACCCATGTCCCTGATGACATAGTTACCACACACCTATCTTCTCCTTCTAATCAAAACTACTGTCTCTTCCTGACCATCACTAGGTGAGAAAAGTAATTATTTCCTGTATAAGAGAGGGGCTCACCCAGACAGTGCCTTTTCGAGGAGCAGTGAAGTAGGCCTTGAAACCAAGGTAACCAGCATCAATATAATGAATCCCACAGAGTCCATAACTGTAAGAGAAAGAAATAATAAAATCTTCCTTTTCCCAAGATTAGATTCATTTCTTCTTCCTAATTCCTTCTAGAATTTAAACTACCTCAATGAAATAACTCCTCTCCCAACATTTCAGTGTACACTGTACCCCAACCCTTAGGGCCTGTCCCTGGAGCTCCTCCTATTCCCATTCTGCCTTACGAGGCATAGCAGTTGTCCTGAGCCACAGTGACACCATTGTAGGGGAGCAGCCAGGCCAGCTCTGTACTCAAGAAGCGCTTGATAGAGTTTATTGGTTCATAAGGTCGTCGGAGGTCCCAGAATTTAATTTTCCGGTCGCTCCCTGCAGAGACTAGGAAATGACTGTGGAAAGATGGGAGAAGGTCAAATCTGAACAAGTCTGGAAGAGGCAGCCAGTGCTGGTCTTCACCTCCCACCTCCATAACTCTCTTCATCTATACCTGTTAGCTTTGCACCATTGAAGGGTACGCACAGCCTGGTCATGGGCTAGGAAACACTGGAAAGGGTATAGCTTCAAGGAGCCATCAGAGAGCCGTATCCGCTGTAGGGGTGAGTTGGTAGGAAGGTTCCAGAAAACCACCATGCCTGAGGTAGGAACAAAATGTGTAGGTATTAAAGGCAGTTCTCTCTCCCTTGCTCTAATTTCTTTCTCTGGGCTCCTAGGATCTTTGCCTTCTACCCTCAGATCTGATCCCTTGTGGAAGGATATAGGGATAATGATTAGCTAGCCAACATTCCCTCCACAATTTAAAGACTCAACCTGATATTTCAGCTCCAGTTCTCATCAATAAAAAAGTAATAGCTTAGTCTGGGACCAGCAGTTGAAAGATGGATTGAATGAACCCAATAGCCTCTACTCCCTATTAAATAAAAGTGAAGGGATTTTTTCCAACCCTCTAAGACAAGGGTTGGCAAACTACAGCCCATGGGCCAAATACAGCCTGCTGCCTGTTTTGGTAAATAATGTTTGATGGAACAAAGCCACACCTGTTCATTTACCCAAATGGCTGATTTCACTTTACAGTGCCAGAGTTGCCTAGTTCCCACAATGGCTCAATAGCCCACAAAGCATAAAATATTCATGGAGCCTTTACAGAAATTTTGCCAACTCTGCTCTAAGACAAAGAGAACAAGTGAGGAGCCAGAAGCAGCAAATTATAGACCAGAAAAGAAATGGACAAGCAGGAACTAATTTGGTGGACCCAAAACAAGCTGACCCCTGACCAGGCTCGGAGAGGAGGAGGTAATTGAAAGTTTAACTTTGGTAAAAATAAAAGACAAATTAAAGAACACAGAGAATTTAATAGGTAATAGCTGAAGAAAATATCTGTAGTTAAAACATCTTTTACACATAAACTCAGAAACCTTTCTGGAAGAAATATATTGGCAGTGAACTACAACTAAATAAATCAGTCAGCAGTGGAGGGGAGAGACTGAGAAGAATGGGACTAGTGGAGACACATAATCATTTCAACATAGAATTAAGATTAAATAACTTTCGGAATGAAGATAACAAAACAGCATCAAGTTATCATGCACCCTGACATGGTAAGAGTATCACCCCCAAAAGAAGCACACTTAGGAGCTGGAATGAGAGATCACAGGAAGTACAGGGGTGCTAATTTCCTTATGTGCCAAGCAGAAAGTCTACTGGGGCTTTCTATCATTTAAAAACCACCACCACCAAGTAACCTCCAACCACTTAACATTATTTATAATCTTTTTTTTCTCCTTTTAATCTTAAAAGTATCTTTAAGGAACTAACATCTCTGTAGTGGAGGAACATTTATTGGGAGCTTAGCTCATCTTTCGAGTACACTCCAGTCTTTTTCTTCTATAAAATTAAAGTATAATTAAATCTAATACCCTTTTCACTTCAATACTTACATGGTCTGATCCCATTTTTTAGAGGATTTTTTCTCTCTCTACCTAATCTTTGCATCTTTATATATGCAAGAGAACTGTGTGAAATGATGTTCATCTACTCTTAATGGTTTTTTTCTGGGTAGAAAAATTCCAGTGACTTTTTTCTTTCTTCTTTGTACTTTTTTTACATTGCTTGAATATTTATAACTATACAATGCCCAACACTGAACCAAAAAGGAAACCACCACCAAGAAACAGCACGCATAAAAGCTTAAAAAGCAACAGCTCCTTTTGTTCTCTCTGGTTTTTACCATTATAGTATCCAGCAGCCAGGTGGTGGTGGGGCCGGGTAGGCATCCAGGCCAGGCTCAGGCACTGGCCACACTCAGAGGGGTCCGAGGCTTGCATGGACCCCACCTCAAGAGTGGCCACACATTGTACCTGCAGAGGAAGAGGAGATGGGTGTACGATTAGGGATGCCTACTGTTTGGAACGAAGGCTCCAGTCAGCATGCAATTCAGCAGGATGGGGAGATTTTTCTGAGACAGGAGACTCACTGTGGAATCAGTAAGGGAGGCTCTAGAAGACAGAGCCTTCACTAAGGCAGCAGGCTCCTCACTCACCTTATAGATGGCAGGTTTCATTGCATCTGTGATGGGAAGAAGAGCAGTCACCGACACTCTGGACTCGGCTCCCTGCCCTTTCAGTAATGACCTTTCCTTCCCCCTCAGCTTTCCCTCACATTTATGAACCTACCTCTGCTCGGCCCCACCTTCTTCCCTGATAGTATCCCTTCTCCCATCAGAATGGTTAATCCCTCCACTCCACTCGCTCCTGACCCTCACTCGTCTTTTCCATAATTTTGCCCATGTGATCACCCTTCCTCTTTCCTGCATTATCCACTTTCTCTCTCTCTAATGGTCACTCTCATATTCACACATACATATGCACCATAGTTTCCTATCAAATGAAACATACAAACCAACAAACTCTTCCTTTACGTCTTAATTCACTTCCAGCTACTACCCTCACTTACCTGTTCCTCTTCACAGCCAAACTGCTTGAAAGAATTGTCCTATGTCTGTCTTCACTTCCTTACCTATTTCCTCCTCAACCCACTCCTCCACCAGACCACCAAATATGGGATTTCTCAGGGCACAAACCTGGGGTACACTCTTCTTTAAATATTCATTACTATTGAAAAACAAATTCAACAAATAGGATCCACCTTTCCTTGACCCTGTCCTCTTCTTGCTCATCTTCAGCTCTATATTCTCTCTCTCCTCACAACAAAGAGATTGAGGGTATGTGCCTGCGTGGTGGTGGGGCAGGCAAGGTGGTGAGAACAGGAGTGGGGGAACAAGAAGGGTGGAGCAGGGGAGCCATCAGCTGCAGGCCTTAGCAACTCCTCACAGGGCAAGTAACTGTGGCAGCTGGAGGGGGAAGGTCTGACAGCACAGGAGGAGGCAGGGAAAGGGAGCAGAGCAAAGGTAATGTGCTGAAAGAGCCCCATTCTAGGACTGCAGAGGAGAGGACCACTTGCAGGCTGGTAAAGAGAGATGTCAGGAACAACAGGTCTTGTGAAGTCAGAATGAGTAGTGTGGCTGACTAAAGCTTTTCACTAAGAAACTGGGCCCTAAGGAGTTTCAGGGAAAATGGACGGGCTCTGCTAAGTTCTAGCCACCACTACAGCAGCCCTTTCTTTCTTTCCCTATGCTACTCACCTGGGGGCTGCTGAGCCAGCAGGGCCTCAGGATGGGGCAGACTGAATAGCAGCACCCTTCCGTCTGAGCAGGCAAGAGCCAAGAGACCCAACCGGGGCAGGAGAGGAGCCTAGAGTGAGACCAGATCTGTGCTGAGGCTTACAGCCTTCATTCACCTCTCAGACAACCTTTGAGGTTCTGGTCCCAGAAAATATGATATGGAGTTTCTGGAAAAGCTCCATCCACCACTCTCCCACCTCCCTTCAACTCTGGGAACTCCCAGGGTCTCTCTGTCCTGGCTCTGAGTCCTACGGCCACCCCACAATCAGCTGAGAGGTACCTTCCGAGGGGTGCCTGGGAGTTCCCATGTTCCACTGGGGCAGAACTTGAGGTCCCAGATGCAGCCATGGTCACAAGCAATCCCATAGACAAAGTGGGCCCTGTTGCCAGGACTGAGGATAGAAATGTGTGAGGAGAATGAGTAGTAAAGAGCGGCCTAGAGCTGCCAGAGCCTATGCTCCCAGTGTCTCAACCCAGTCCAAACTCGCTGCCATTCCCCTGCCCAGGCCCATCCTTCTCACCTCCCCAACCACCCTCCCATGGCAGTGTCCCAGCCCCACCTCACCAGCTTTCTTGCTGCAAGGTCCCAAGGCCCCAGAGCTGGAGCAGCCCAGGGCCTGAATGAAGCTGGCTCAGAGGGTGTGTCTCATTCATGTCAGGGCTGGAGAAAAGGGCCACATACTGCGAGGCTGCTGCCCCCTCTGGCACTGGACACCAGTCCAGAGCCCAGAGGGGTCCCCCTGTGAAGAAGGACACATCCCAGCGCTCAGGGTGTGCTGTGATTGAGCTAAACCTACAAAAAAATCAAAGATGGCAGGAAGAAAAGAGTTAATAAAAGATAATAATGACTTCAGTAGGTGAATGAATAAATCAACTGTGATACATTCAGACAATGGAATATTATTTGGCACTAAAAAGAGATGAGCTGTCAAGCCATGAAAAGGCATGGAGGAACCCTAAATGCATATTGTTAAGTATTTGAAAGACTCATACATACTGTATGATCCCAACTATATGACAATCTGGAAAAGGCAAAATTACGGAGACAGTAAAAAGATAAGTGACAACAGGGGCTAAAGGGGAGGTAGGGATGAGCAGGCGAAACACACAGTACTTTTAGGGCAGTGAAAATACTCTGTATGGCACCATAATGATGGATGTCTATATATCTGCCCAAACCCACAGAATGGACAACCCCAGAGCGGGCCCTAAGGTAAACCACGGGCTTTGAGATGTCAAAAACAGCCTACAGGTAAGAGTAGCCCTTAGCCACCACCCCCCTTTGTACTGCCACCCGTTCCTTCACAAAATCTGTGTAGCTCCAGCTCATGTGCAGCGATAGGCTGTGCACTCTGCTTTACTAGTCTCCTCTCCAGGGCATCTGTCCGCATCGGAGTAGACGTGACCATGTAATCTGATCTGACCCGCCACCTCCCTAGCTTCCCTCAGCTGCGCCCACAGTGATGAGCACTGCAAATCAGAGAGGAGCCAGGCCTCCTGCCCGACCAGCTGGACTGCAGCAGGGGAAGAACAGGGCCAATCTGCCATCCCTTTCAACTTTCAACATCCACTGTCCCTGTTTCTGTCTCCTAGAATCAGAAAAGGCGATGCAGCCTTCACCTGTTGATTCGGTAGAGTGTGCCATCTTCAGGAAGTCCTTCACGATGTACTGAAAACAGTGGAGACTTCTCCTCCTGGGGCAGGTAGGGAGCTGACTCACTGGGAGAAGGCAAAGGGACAGCCTGAATTCCAAAGTTTTGCCCATCCCAGGATTCCCATTGTAAGTCTACAGAGTCCTCTGTCACCCTTCTGCCTCCAGTGGTGTCATGCCTCCTCGGCTTCAGAGATGCGTCTTTAACTTACAGTTCAGATAACAAGTGCCACTTCCAGGCTAAGGGAATCCATTCTGCAAACTCCCAGTATGAATGCTTCTGCTCTCGGCTGGAGGAACAGAAGAAGCATTAACGAAGGAGGGAAATTCTAGAGCAGTGCTGTCCACTGAAGCATTCTGCAGTGATGGAAGTGGTCTATTATCTGTGCTGTCCAGTACACTAGCCACTAGCTGCAAGTAGCTACTAGGCACTTGAAATGCAGCTAGTGCAACTGAGAAACTGGACTTTTAATTCCATTTCATTCTAACTAATCTAAAATTAAATTTAAGTAGCCACATGTGCCTAGTGGCCTCCATACTGAAAAACACAGCTCTAGCGCTCTTGCTTGCCTTTGGAGCAATGTCAAAGGGCTTATAACTGTCCTCACAGTGTTCTGCCGTGTGTGTGCCTTCCCTTTCCCATGGCCCCCCTCTACATTAACCTTTGCACTCCACCACCAACCACCCTTCCAGCCCCAGCCCCAGTTCCCCAAGTCTCACAGGTCCTTGGTGAGATGGAGGCACTTCCAAACAGGAGCCATGATGTGATTTGGTAAGCCATTGGGAGCCACTCCCCGGCAGTGCGGAAGGCTGGTAAAGAGAGATGTCAGGAACAACAGGTCTTGTGAAGTCAGAATGAGTAGTGTGGCTGACTAAAGCTTTTCACTAAGAAACTGGGCCCTGAGGAGTTTCAGGGAAAATGGACGGGCTCTGCTAAGTTCTAGCCACCACTACAGCAGCCCTTTCTTTCTTTCCCTATGCTACTCACCTGGGGGCTGCTGAGCCAGCAGGGCCTCAGGATGGGGCAGACTGAATAGCAGCACCTTTCCGTCTGAGCAGGCAAGAGCCAAGAGACCCAACCGGGGCAGGAGAGGAGCCTAGAGTGAGACCAGATCTGTGCTGAGGCTTACAGCCTTCATTCACCTCTCAGACAACCTTTGAGGTTCTGGTCCCAGAAAATATGATATGGAGTTTCTGGAAAAGCTCCATCCACCACTCTCCCACCTCCCTTCAACTCTGGGAACTCCCAGGGTCTCTCTGTCCTGGCTCTGAGTCCTACGGCCACCCCACAATCAGCTGAGAGGTACCTTCCGAGGGGTGCCTGGGAGTTCCCATGTTCCACTGGGGCAGAACTTGAGGTCCCAGATGCAGCCATGGTCACAAGCAATCCCATAGACAAAGTGGGCCCTGTTGCCAGGACTGAGGATAGAAATGTGTGAGGAGAATGAGTAGTAAAGAGCGGCCTAGAGCTGCCAGAGCCTATGCTCCCAGTGTCTCAACCCAGTCCAAACTCGCTGCCATTCCCCTGCCCAGGCCCATCCTTCTCACCTCCCCAACCACCCTCCCATGGCAGTGTCCCAGCCCCACCTCACCAGCTTTCTTGCTGCAAGGTCCCAAGGCCCCAGAGCTGGAGCAGCCCAGGGCCTGAATGAAGCTGGCTCAGAGGGTGTGTCTCATTCATGTCAGGGCTGGAGAAAAGGGCCACATACTGCGAGGCTGCTGCCCCCTCTGGCACTGGACACCAGTCCAGAGCCCAGAGGGGTCCCCCTGTGAAGAAGGACACATCCCAGCGCTCAGGGTGTGCTGTGATTGAGCTAAACCTACAAAAAAATCAAAGATGGCAGGAAGAAAAGAGTTAATAAAAGATAATAATGACTTCAGTAGGTGAATGAATAAATCAACTGTGATACATTCAGACAATGGAATATTATTTGGCACTAAAAAGAGATGAGCTGTCAAGCCATGAAAAGGCATGGAGGAACCCTAAATGCATATTGTTAAGTATTTGAAAGACTCATACATACTGTATGATCCCAACTATATGACAATCTGGAAAAGGCAAAATTACGGAGACAGTAAAAAGATAAGTGACAACAGGGGCTAAAGGGGAGGTAGGGATGAGCAGGCGAAACACACAGTACTTTTAGGGCAGTGAAAATACTCTGTATGGCACCATAATGATGGATGTCTATATATCTGCCCAAACCCACAGAATGGACAACCCCAGAGCGGGCCCTAAGGTAAACCACGGGCTTTGAGATGTCAAAAACAGCCTACAGGTAAGAGTAGCCCTTAGCCACCACCCCCCTTTGTACTGCCACCCGTTCCTTCACAAAATCTGTGTAGCTCCAGCTCATGTGCAGCGATAGGCTGTGCACTCTGCTTTACTAGTCTCCTCTCCAGGGCATCTGTCCGCATCGGAGTAGACGTGACCATGTAATCTGATCTGACCCGCCACCTCCCTAGCTTCCCTCAGCTGCGCCCACAGTGATGAGCACTGCAAATCAGAGAGGAGCCAGGCCTCCTGCCCGACCAGCTGGACTGCAGCAGGGGAAGAACAGGGCCAATCTGCCATCCCTTTCAACTTTCAACATCCACTGTCCCTGTTTCTGTCTCCTAGAATCAGAAAAGGCGATGCAGCCTTCACCTGTTGATTCGGTAGAGTGTGCCATCTTCAGGAAGTCCTTCACGATGTACTGAAAACAGTGGAGACTTCTCCTCCTGGGGCAGGTAGGGAGCTGACTCACTGGGAGAAGGCAAAGGGACAGCCTGAATTCCAAAGTTTTGCCCATCCCAGGATTCCCATTGTAAGTCTACAGAGTCCTCTGTCACCCTTCTGCCTCCAGTGGTGTCATGCCTCCTCGGCTTCAGAGATGCGTCTTTAACTTACAGTTCAGATAACAAGTGCCACTTCCAGGCTAAGGGAATCCATTCTGCAAACTCCCAGTATGAATGCTTCTGCTCTCGGCTGGAGGAACAGAAGAAGCATTAACGAAGGAGGGAAATTCTAGAGCAGTGCTGTCCACTGAAGCATTCTGCAGTGATGGAAGTGGTCTATTATCTGTGCTGTCCAGTACACTAGCCACTAGCTGCAAGTAGCTACTAGGCACTTGAAATGCAGCTAGTGCAACTGAGAAACTGGACTTTTAATTCCATTTCATTCTAACTAATCTAAAATTAAATTTAAGTAGCCACATGTGCCTAGTGGCCTCCATACTGAAAAACACAGCTCTAGCGCTCTTGCTTGCCTTTGGAGCAATGTCAAAGGGCTTATAACTGTCCTCACAGTGTTCTGCCCTGTGTGTGCCTTCCCTTTCCCATGGCCCCCCTCTACATTAACCTTTGCACTCCACCACCAACCACCCTTCCAGCCCCAGCCCCAGTTCCCCAAGTCTCACAGGTCCTTGGTGAGATGGAGGCACTTCCAAACAGGAGCCATGATGTGATTTGGTAAGCCATTGGGAGCCACTCCCCGGCAGTGCGGCTTCTGCTTCTGAGGATCAAATAGAAGAGTGTGTGAAGGAGAGGGTTTTATAGGCTAGAAAAGTCCCCAGAAAAGTGTCCCTAGCTTTTGCTTTTCTTGGCACTACTTCTTCTCACCTCTGCCTTATTAGCATCTTAAGAAACACTTATCTTTCAACAATTGCAATGACTTCTCCACCTTCTGCTTCTACTCCTCCATCAAACTGTTGTTTTCTATTTCTCTTCCTGGACATCTCCATGGCATTTGATTCAGAGGACTCCCATTTGCCTCTTGAGACTCCTGCCTGTGGGTTAGTCTCTTCTTATTCCTCCCACCTCTCCAAGGAAGCTCTCCCTCCTCTGACAGGTTTGGTTGCTGATGGTATTTCCCAGAGTCCCTCTGTCCTTCTCAACCTTCCATACACACAGTCTTGTAATGTCATCCCATGTCCCATGGCTTTGACTACCATCATTATGCCTGAATATCAAGTTCACATCTTAGTAAGTATAAACTTTACTCAGTTTCAACATTTCTACACATTTTAGACCCTTACAGTATGGTGCTGAGCCATGTGAGAGCCTGAGGCAGAAGGAAAAATCAGTGATAGAGCTCCTGTCTTCATTTAAAATTTTGGTATTTTATTCATCGTAAGTTTGCTGCCTTAATTTATGATTTGTTTAAAATGTTGCACCAAAATATTTATCTTAGTTACTGAGGGCTTTGGTGCCCCCTTAAATGTCACATTTAAGATAAGTAAGGCAGCAGTCCCACATAGGTGACTGGCAACTAGATGTCTCCAGAAGGATGGCCCATGGCCCACAGGCACCTCCAACTCGTCAGGAAGTGAACTCATCACCTTCCCTGCCCACCCTCACCCCTCAACCCCCCTCACTCTTCCTGTGTTCCTGAGTTCAGAGCATGAGGACACCATCTAAGATGAAATTCCTACTCCTTTCTTTCCTTCAACTTCCAAGTGCTGTTAATTCTCTTAAACCTTTCTTGACTCTGCCTCCAACCTTCTCTTTCTTTAATGCTTGATTCAGGTCCTCACTATCTCCTATCTGGATAAATGAAGATGTTTTCTGATTGTCAACTGCAAATTGACCTATTTTCCTACTCAAAAACCTCTGTCACTTAAAGCTTGGGATGATGAAAAGTTTTGAAGATAGCAGTGATGGTTGTACAATAGTGTGAATGCACCAAATGCCTCTCAATTGTACATTCTTATTTATTATTTTTTTATTTAATTATTTTGCAGGTACAAGCAAAGAGTAGTTTAATAAAATAAAAGTACACACTCAAGGAGGGAGTGTGGGCATGCTCCAGAGGTGAGCAGCAGAGTGGTTTAGTAAAGCAAACTACACACTTAAAGAGGGAGTGCAGGCATGCTCTATTTAAAGATAAAGTTTATGTTATGTATATTTTGCCAAAATTAAACAAAGAAATACCTTTGTTGGCTCCTACCAGTCTTAGCCTCTTCATGATCTCTTGTTTAATCTCCCTACTACTTTACCCCAGGCCCTATGCTGCAGCCATAATCAATTTCTGGGAAAACCAATCTCTCTGGCAAACTTCTATTCACCTTTCAAGACCTAGCTCAACTGTCATTCCTCTGTGAAGCCTAAGTCATTGGTCACCCCTCGTTTATATGCCAAAGGCATTTTGTTCATTACTGGTGAACACCCATCACATTGTGAACTCATGTGGCAGGACTGTCTATTCATGTCTGTGCTTCCTAGCCCAGAGTAGATGCTCAATATATGAATGAATACTCTTATTTACATACACCCTCAGCCCACACAATCTTAACTGTTTCTAAAGTTGTCCCTTTCTTCTTTTACCTATTTTAGCCATCACAGTTACCAGGTCAAGCTCTCCTGAGCTCCCTACTGACCCCCTAAAAATCCTACTATTTCCACATTCACTTTCTTGTCTGTTCAGGTTACCCCTGAAGTAGATCCTCGTGGGGTGCTTCGGGGCACTGCAGGCTCGGGGTCAGATGAGCTCTCACTTGGGGCTTCACTTTCTTCTCCATCTTCAGCCTCGACTTGGAGAACAAAGTCTTCATCCCGGGCAGTATCATCCTCTTCTTCTCCACCTCGACAGGCTGCCTGCTGTCGGCTTTTCTTTGGCTTGGTCTGGCTGCTCACCTTGGGGTTCTCAGGGCAGGACACCGAAGCAGGCAGGGCTGTTGAGAGCTCCTCAGCCAGTTCCTGAAGATAGAGAAGGGCCCTGTGGGACAGGGCAGAGTAAGAGCCATACTTACACACTTTACTGAGAGCACATATTTCCAGCCACTTGCTGATTCTTATCTCACCAGATCCTCCCAGTGACCCTGCAAAACAGCTATTAATTTCCCCTTCCTCTTTGATAGATGAAAAAAACAGAAATACAGGAAAGTTAAGTGACTTGGCCAAGACAATTCAGATCACACATGTGGAATGTGAACCCAGGTCTTCCAACTCCAAGTACAAAGCACTTTTCACTCTACCACAGTCAAAGATCACTGGGGGCCAAGGGAATGAACGGAAGCACATGTCTATACTGATATACACTGGGCAGTAAAACTGCAACGAAGACCTGGAGGAAACTGTGGAAAACATGATAGGATACAAACGAACAGAAAGAAACCCCCTAGACAGAAAAACTTAGCAAAAGATAAGAGTTACTGTGTAAGTGCTAGATCGCTCAAGTCCCCAGGACCCAGACACCACCCCTGCTTACCTGACACTTCATCACAGTTTCCTCATCTCTCCAGCCCCTGCTCTACCCCGATCCCTTCGCCCAACCCCCCTCCAAGCTGTACCCTACGATCCTTACACTTGGGCTGCCCTTCGGCGGGGTCGCTCTCCAGGAGGGCTCTCAAAGTCCTCAGGGGGCCTCTTGGGAGGTGGAGACTCTGGCTGATCTAGGCCTTTTGACAACTTCAGCAGTAGCAGCTCTGCCTTGGACTTTCGACCTCGTTTCTTAGGCATGGGGGTAGAGAGAGAGTTGGATTGATCTAAGAGACCAGGAACCAGAGGGACTGATGGAGGATTAGGTTGCTGGGGCCTTTTGGGGCCTTTCCGAGTCCTACCACCTCTCTTCCGGCCAGGCTTTGAGGCCCTAGGCTTTGGTACCTTTGACATCTCTGAAGGAAGATCTGTAGAGAAGAATATGGGTCTGTGAGGTGGCACCAGAGCTCAAACCTCTTTGGAATAGATTATTCCATCCCCAGGTTTCTAAGATCCTGTGAGCTTACCCTGTTCACTTTCATTGTAAGCTAAGCATGGGGAGAAAAGATGAAAGGACAAGGTACATACCTTGCTGTTCCAGTCTGGAGAGGCTTTCCTGTTCTGGAGGGAACCTCCGCTCATTGAGAGAATGCTCAAATCCAGGCAAAGGGCTCGGTAAAGACATCACCATGGAAGCTTCTGCACTGTGTGCTTCTGAAGAGGCCTTGACATCAAGTTGGCTCAGCACCTCTTGTCCAGGAGAGTCTACTAGAGTCATGTTCACCACGGGGCCGGCCTCCCTCACAGCAACACAGCCAACCCCGCAGGGATCCATCGGCATCCCCTGCAACAGCTGCCCATGCATATAGACACATACAAAGGAGGAGAAAGCAAAAACTATTCACACTGGCTCAGATTTTTCTACCTCCTGTCTTTTCTTTTTCCACACCTGCCCCCCAACCAGAAACCTAAGTTTCCTTACTAAGCATTTTCTACATATCAGGCACTGTTTTAGGAACTGGTAATATGACAAAAAGCAAGACAGACAAGGCCCCTGCCCTCATGGAACTTACATGCAAGTGGAGCTGAGAATAAACAAATAATAACACAGCTACCATTAACTAAATGCTCACCATGTAGCCAAGCACTATACTCTTTAGCCAGTTTAATTTAAAGCTCATAAGGTTTTGTGTAACAATAGTGCTGTGAATGAACAATTAACTCCTTTCCCTGAAACCCAATGAAATGAATCACCCATTTCCTCTCAAAGAACAAAGAGGAAAAAAAATCACCTGTTATGAATCTAGGGAAGGGCAACAACTTCCTAAAATACACTGTATAAAGAATGGCTGCCAGATACAGTCAGATTTAGACCACATTGAAGGAGGATGTCTAGAGCTAACATCCACCTTTGTGAATCCTAGTCAAGCAACAGATTTATTTAAAAATAAGTAAAAGAGGGGGCGGAGCCAAGATGGCGGCATGAGTAGAGCAGCGGAAATCTCCTCCCAAAACCACATATATTTTTGAAAATACAACAAAGACAACTCTTCCTAAAAGAATAAGTAAAAGAGTTCTCTAATGCCCTGCCATCAGTCTTTCATCTGGATAGGGGAAGTGGTAGGCTATAAGACCAGGAACATCCTGCTACATTACAAGACCTTTTCCACATTGAAGAACGACTAAAAAATGGCTACAAGTCTTGTCTTCTTCAAACCCAGAAAATCAATTGTGCAACCATGGACCAAAGTAAACAGACAGGAGATATACAAAACATCAACCACCAAATCAAACAAATGAGCAACACAGAACTCTTCAAAGGCCCAGTTTTGGACCAGAATAACCTGCTTATCTGAGACAAAGGGGAGAAATAGCTCAAATCCCAGGAAGAACATCCCCAACCCTATAGGTCTGATTTTATGCTTCTTAAGGATAAAGAATTTATCAGCCTCAGTGAAAGGTGTGGTAATACAAATACCATAAGAAATATACAAATTAAAGTTTCCAATTGCCTCTCTTGAAGAAGCTACAGTCTAAGCAGACTATAACAGCCAACCCTCTAACTCAGGTGTTAAGGATACAATATAACATCATATGCTAAAAATGTGCTAAGGTAAATGAGGTCAATGAGAACCCACCTACTTTGTTTTTTGGTAAATAGCAAGCCCTGACAGAACTACTCTATTCAAAACTAGTAATAAGCAAAAAGGATCCAAATGGGAACTACACATAGACACTAAAGGAAGAATAAAAAGAATACACAGAAATGAAAAAAGAGGGGAAAAAGTACCTTTCCAAAGAAAGGCTGCAGAAAACAGTATCCCACAAAAGTTCTTTACTTAAAAAAAAAAATAAAAAACACTGTGGAATCCAAGAAACAAGAGATCAAGGAGGGGAAAAACAAGGTGAAAGTGAGCTGACAGTAGTAAGTAAAGAAACTGAGTAGAAGTATCAGAGGTGAAAACCAGAGAGGCAAAGCGCTGAAACTACACTGTTGAAAACCGCATCAGTGATAGGAAGGGTGGGTCTGAGAACAACCACATAGGATGCAAGAGATAAAAGTGATCAGTGAGGAGATGACAGAGATGAAAAGGAGAAGGTGGGGAGCCAATAAATGAATAATTGATGGTCCTAAAGAAGAAGGAACATGGGAACAGAAAAAAAAATGTTCAAAAACTTAACAGAAAATTTCCTGAAATAAAAAATAAAATGCTTCCCTGAAATAAAGGAAGACCTCAGTCTATAGATCAAAAGGGCTTACAGTGTAAAATGGAAAACAAAAATCAATAAAGAATCATCAGGACCAAGAATTAGCTGAGTGAAGATAGTAATTTCTCCTACAAAGGGGAAAAAAAAAAATCAGGTCAGCCTCAGAGTTCTCAGAAACATTTGATGCCAGAAGATAAAGAAACACTAAGAGAAAACCACGACAGGGGAGGTGTGGAGAACGCAGGGTTGTGGGGCCCGGCCTGAGCCCCATCCCGTGCACAGCCTCACTTTTCCAGTGACTCACCAGGTTTACTAAGTCACTCATAAGGGAACAATAATTTTTAGAGACTCATCTTCTCTACTGTAAGATGCACAATTAAGAAATGTCGGACAGTCACATTTTATGCCTCACTGTGTTCAGGTTAATACTTTAAGACCCTGCAATACTAAATTGACAAATTCTGAAAAGATTACAGCACATATTTCTTTACCACTAAAAGCAGGGCTGTAATTCATTTAGCCCAGAAACCTTTAAGTTTGATTCATGAATAATTTTAATTTGGGAGTTAACCTAATATTTATGACTCATACAAGACAAATAATTTAATATGTACTTCAAGTGTATATAATTCCAAATGGTATCCTAACTGGATTAAAGGCAGCAATAATGTGTACAGCTGTTTGCTATTAAATAGCTGAAGAGTGATTAAGGAGTAAATGCAAAAACAAGTGCTACCAACTAGAATCTCTGAGCAGCTCTATAAGCTAAACAGGTTCTCATTTATGCCATGTTCTAAGGCACTTACTGAACTGATTTTACCAATGGATTCCCCCTAACTAAAATAACTAAACTATAAAATTAAAAGTTTGATTACAGTTGGGATGTTTAAAACTAAAGCAGGATGAACTCTTCACCCCCTTGAAGGACAAGAAGCAGCACCTATAGAAGAGAAACAAGAGTAAAGGTCTAAACCTGTGAAAGACAAGATGACAGTATAAAAATTTAATAGCAAAATGGAAGACAGAAGAATGTGATAAATGAGTCAAAATCAAACTTTCCAATTAATTTATTTAAATTCATTAACGTTGCAAAAATACTATATGCAACAAATCTGGACATAGTTATTGTATTCCTCACAAGTCAAGGGGAAATGGTGGTAAATCAAGACCAACCCTAGTATTTCTTACAGGGACCACATCAACATCTTGCACACAGTCATCAAAACTGAATTTCTCACTGTAAAATGACAGCACTAGGCAACTGATACTAATTTCTTCAATATGATGAAAGGCACCATGTAGGCAGAAGAGTGGCCATGGAGATCACCGTAGGATCGGGCAACAGAAATCAGACCTAACGCATTCCTACAGTCTAAAATTTTGAATAAAAATTAAAGGCATTATCCTACATGACTTCAAATGACTAAATAAAAGCTGCTGTTCTATCATGCATATTTTACAACTAAATAAAGTGATCATTAAGGATTTTCTTTTTAAATCATAAGAACTACTCAATGTCATGTTTAAGTATGAAGAAAAATCTATTAATGGGTCTGAGTTGATTAAACTAGTTCAAATTATCTATGGTCAAGCCAGACCAACTGAAAGTTTAAAGTTCCTTCCATTAGCATGGATGACTACTACCTCCCAGGAGAATACACTTCTAGAGTTTATTCCAAAGAAAGATTACCTAAGCATCTTAAGAAACATAAAATATGCTAAGCATTATAAACAAGGCAAAATTCAGAATAAAACAGGAAATGTAATAAGCTCTCCATCCTTTCCTAAAATGCAAATTATAAGACAGTGTTCAATGTGATGTAAGGAAATAAAGAGCTATTTTATTTAAAAAAAAGAAATACTAAGAGGATCAAGAGAATTCTATACTTAACTGGGATGTCATTCACGTAAAGGCAACAGGATGACATTCTCCATCTGCAAGTTTCTAGGAATTATAAAACGAATGTGCCCTTACTTTTTAAAAAAACCACTTAGAAATCTAATTTAGCAAATAAAAGATAAATCAATGCAAAGAACTTTCTAATGGAGAAGTTGTGGTATGAAGATTGGCAATAAGCATTTAACCCAGTGATATCAACTGAATTTAAATAACTATGGTAACTACAGCTATAAAACAGACTCTAACTTAAAATTTTAAAGGCCCCATAATATAAAAAAAATCAACATTCTGACCATAGTAGACTAAGACAAAAGAAGTATCCTAATTTTGATATGAATTTTGTATCAAAAGATCCTAATTTCGACTGCTTCTAAGGCTGGTAAATTTAAAAATATAGGTTTATTAATACCATCTAGATGTTTAGTAGAACTAAAAACTGAATACTGTATTGCTTCCAAAATACTCAGTAAGCAAACAGGAACCAGAAACAACTTTTTTAAAGACTGAAAATAAAGGAAACACACAGAAAATAAAAGATAGTAAAATAATAAACATATATCAGATCAATTCATCATTAAAAGAAAGAATAAAGATTTGGATTGGATTAAAAAGCCAAATAACTAAATGCTTTTTAAAAGAGATGTCTAAAGTAAAGGAACTCTAAGAGATGCAAGTAAAAAGATGAATTAAAATATACAGGGCAAATGTATGCAAAAAGAAAACAGGAGTTTTGTTGGTAGTAGCAGAGTTGATTTCATGGAAAAAAGTATTAAATGGGACAAAAAGGAAATACTTTATACTGAATAAAACTTCAAATCATATAAAAGAAATGTCATGAACTTTTAGGCATCCAATAACACAGCATCAAAATATATAAAGCAAAATCTTCAGGATATAAAATCATTGCTTCTTTTAATCATTAATAGATCAAGTAGATAAGGACAGAGATGTGAATAACATGATTACCAAGCTCTATATTTATGGAGGTTCAGCTGCATAAAACAGAATCCTCTCTAGTCACCTCAGCTAAAAGGGATTTATTACAGGGTATTAAATGTTTAACACCAGTGGTTCTCTAAGTGTGGTCCCAGAACCAGCATCCATGTTACTTGGAAATACATTAATAAAATGCAAATTTCCAGTCCTACCCCAGACCTGCTGAATCAGAAACTCTGGGATGGGGCCAGCACTTTGTGCTCTTCACGTGGTTCTGATGCACACTCAAGTTTGAGAACCATCTTCATACAGGATCAGTGGAAGGGCTGGGGGAAAAAGCAATTTAGGAACAAAGGCTTATCAGATTGGGAAGTTCTTTTGCAACTCCGGATTCCAGAACCACATGGCCTCTACTATGCCACGAAGGGAAGACACCTGCTGAATCAAGAAGCCCCTCACACACGTGATGGCCCCACAAACAAGTTCCCTGCAATAATCAAAAGTGACCTGACTAAATGGGGAAGACCCTTCTCTGGCTCCCAGATCCAGAACCATACCACTACCCCAAACTGCACCAGCAAAATGCATTGCATTAGGGCCTGCCTCTCACCTCTATAAACTTAGGTCCAACTTTGGGTTGCTAAGATGACTATAGCATCTTACTACTCTGATAGACACAGACTGCAGTAGGATGGGACAGGAGAACTTATCATATGGGTGAATGTAAAAACCACAATGTTGTTCATGTGAAACCTTCATAAGATTGTATATCAATGATACCTTAATTTAAAAAAAAAAGAGCACGTTTGATTGGCAAGGCCTAAGTCATATTCAGTATCTTGGATGGAAAAAAATTTCAGGAAGTGAAATTTGTAGCTTTCTAGGTTCAAGTGGAGGTTGCTCATTCTCTCACATCCTACTTACTCCAGGGTAGAAAGTGGGATCAGTGTCTTCTCAATTCCCATCCAAGGTCATTGCTATACTAGCCCTCCCTGTATCATAAAAACTTTGTTCCTTTGAAACTTGTAACATTCAGCTAAACCACTGCTGCTCACTCCATTGTCACACCCTGGACCTTGTCATCATACAAACTTTTTAACCCTCCAAATCACTAAGACATCCCACTAACTGATCACAACTTCCTATCATTAGAGTAGACTGCTTAACTACTATCACTGCATCTATTCTGCAACCCTATCGAGCCACTATCCATTGATCTCCAATTTCTCCCTATGTCAGCCACATCCTACCTAGCTTAGATTCCTTTTTAAAATCAGACTCCTGCTGATATTATGAACTTCCTTTTTTTTGTCTTTTTGTCTTTTTCTTCCACAGGCCCAGCAAAACTTAAGCACCAGATGAACCAACCATCCCGCTTCTCCATGTGTACATCTAAGCTGCCAAGATCTAGTAATCACATTCTCTCTCTAGTTAGCTCCCACACCCTCTCTCCTCCAAGATCTGATCCCCTGGTTCTCAGCACATTGCTTCTGATTCCAGAAACAAAAACCAAAGCCATTACATAGGAAATACTTCACTTTCTTGTCAGGCAGCCTAACACTCCCAGCACTTGGAGTCCACTCCACTTTTCTAACGCCAGGGCTTCCATTTGTGCTCTAGCCCCCTGCCAACCTCCTAACAAAATTGGAGCTGTTTATCCTTTTCCTTTCCATTAGGTCCTTCCAAACTGCACTTAAAATACACCTGTAATTCTCATCTTAACTATTCTTCATCTCATATTCCTCCTCCCTCTCAAGAGTCAAATTTTTAAAGTGTTGTCTGCCCTTTATGTTTTAATTACCCTACTTCATCCTAACTATATTACCACCAACTCATTACTGAAGCTAAAGTCATCAATAATTACTGCATCAATCAATCCAATGAACAATCCCCAGTGTCCTTTAACTTGACCTCTCAGCAGCACTGCTACTTACCATTCCTTTCTTGAAACCTTCTCTTTTTTGACAAGCAATTCAAGTGCAGTAACCTTCCAGATTTTTCCTCAAATCTTTTACAGTTGTCTCACTCAAACCTATTTGGCAGCTTCTTTGCTTATATGAAAACTCATTTCTTTTATCTTTCCAAAGCATTCAACTTAGTTTGCTTTTAAGAATTTTTATACAATTTTTGACAAAAATTTGACAAAAAATATTTATAAATATGTGAATATAAATAACAATAAAATACCTGTGTATTTGCCACATTTCAACTTTTAATAGAAACTACTCTTTCACATTCAAGTTTCTTTAAAATTTAAATACAATTGTATAAATAAAATGACAACTCAACTGACATGAAAAATGTTGGGAACCAACCCCAATAACTGTTCAATTCAAAGAATTCTACTCAACCAGTGGGAGTAGAGCAACCAAGCCTACAGGAGAAAAGCTTCAGGCTTTGAGCATTCAGTGTGCCTTGGGCCTCGGTCTGTATACTTCACAGAGAAACTGGGGAGTTTGGGGAATGCCAGTTAACACAGGAAGCTAGTTAAAAAGAGATCTGTTAAAACACACACACACACACACATACACACACACATGTGTGTATGTGTGTGTGTGTGTACCTTAAAGATTTTCCTTATCAGTACACATACATACATCTAATTCTTCTTAGTTACTAATATGGTGTTTCATAGAATTATAGTTTGTTTGGATATCCGCCATTTAATGGACATTTGGATTACAATACTATTACAAACAATACTACAATGAATATTCTAGTACACATCTCTTCATTAATGAGAAATTATTTTTCAAGAATAATCTGAAATGGAATTATTGTACTGGGTTAAACGGTATATACATTTCAAAATTTGATACTGCAAATAGCTCACCAAAACAAAAAGCAATTTATACCACCAATCAGTACCCATTTTACCACACCTTTGCCAATCTTTAATTTTTGCCAATTTGCTGGGTAAAAGAGTTCTTCCCTGTTGTAGTTATTTGCATTGCCCTGATTATAATTGAGGTCAGCAACTTACTTATTTATTTAAGGTATTATTGATA